AGCTAAGAGATGTTTGTTAATTTCAATTGATTAGTTGTGTGAAAAGAATAGTATACTTTCTATGTTCTTTCTTTAACAGTTCTCTACTTCAAGTGTTCTGTTTTTATGAACCTCTTGTAGGTCGTCTCATGCTCCCAAGTCGCAAAATCATCAGAAGAAGTCACAGCACAACTGGAGTCGGCTGTAGCAGCCGGGACGGTAGAGTCTAATGTAGACTTGCCTACATCTTCAGCATCATCTTGTGGTGCTCTCTCTGCTTCCAGGTTCGGTCAAAACATACTACTCTTGATTGTTTACGAGATTCGTAGCTGGAGTTGCTAGTTTCATCCTAGTCCTTTGTAATGTTGCCTTTATTTTGCTTTTCCTGCCTGTACGTCATTTGCTGTTTTTGTTACGTGACATTCTCAAAAACTAAGTAAGTGAAAGAAAAGGCGTTTTAGAATTGATCCACTTATCAGTTAGTCAGCTACAATGTAGTATGTTTCGCAGCTGATAATTCGAGACGTTCCGAATTATTAGTTGTGAAACATACTACAATGTTTCACTAAGTTTTAAACGCTGGGATTTTTTCAAGTTAATTTTTCGTTGTTTTGGAATAAAAAAAGTTGCAATTTTTTTCCTAGCGAATTTTTTGCTTTCCAGCCCTTGATTCACCGTTTTAGTCGTGTTGAAGTTTTGGTTTCATTTTCCCGTCTTCTTTTGGACGTTCAAGGACTAAAGTCTTTGTTGATATGCGCTTGCTTATTGTTCCGTTTAGTAAGTACAGGCTTCGTAACCAGTTGAGGACAGAGTAGATAACAATAGTTTGAAAGTCCTCTTGCTCTCGGCAACAGATGGGGAGTTTTTAGTGATGAGGTGTACCGTCATTTGTTTTGAATTCTGTAGTTTCTCGCAGTGGTCAGTTTTGAAATAAAATTTTGCCCGTTATTAGTAAACCAGAAAAAAGGTAATGGTTGATATTCTTCTGAAAGGCGCTGAGGTGTGGAAATGAGGAGGGTGGTTTGAGTCTTGCTGAACTATACGATTGATGGTCATTAGGCTAATGTAAAATTAGTTTTTTTAATTTTGCGCCATGTCTGTTCGGTTTCTCTCAAACGCTTTTTCAACCGGGATTATTATTTTACGTCTATAGATTTATTCGTGGTGATGTTTCTAGAAGGATGGGTGGTGGTTCAGGTAAGGTACATTTAGGGGTCTTTAAAGCTTTTTAAAACTTTCTGTACGCATCAGCATATTAATATTATAGGTGGAAAATTTTGTCGAGGTTTAGTTTAAGTAGTGGACTTGAGCCTGTTGTTTTTATTTATCCGTTTGGCTTCTATAAGTAATTTCCATTCTTCGTCATTGTATTGAATGTGGTTCTGATTATGAGTGCAAGTTCCATGTCTTTTGTCGTCCAGTTTTCTTGTATGACGTAGACAAATTCTAGCTTTGTTTAAATCCTTAAATTGTTTTATTTTTTTTAGCTCGGTGAATAGCTTCGAAAGCGGTGCTGCTTCAGACCCAGGTGTTCTCAGTACTGACGGTGTACCCCGAGTCAAAAAGCTGAATCGCTGTCATGTTTGCAAAAAGCGTGTCGGGTTAACCGGTAAGTTGGCTGCTTTTTATGTTTCTTGAAATGCAGCGCACCTAGTTTTTTGATTTTTGCAGTAGTTTTTTAATAATAAGTGTTTTTGTATTAGTAATGTCTACCTGGAAGCTACCTTTGGTGGGCAAGGGTATGAACATTTTTCATTATTGCTGTTGAAGCGTCCTGTGTGCCCATAGTTTCATACGAGTGGGTTGATTAATTTACTTTTTTGTGGTACTCTTGATTGTATAGTGATTTTAACGGTGTGTATAGTATTTTTATCTTTTTACTTTTAGGCTTTGTTTGTCGATGTGGCGGCCTTTACTGTAGTGAGCACCGTTATGATAAGGCGCATGATTGCTCATTCGATTACAAAACAAGTGAAAGAGAACAACTCCGTAAAAACAACCCAGTGATCATTTCGGAGAAAATCCAGCGACTCTGAAGTTATCATTCATGTGATATGCAACGGCTCCTGATTTTTAATACTCGATAATGTGATTAGTCGCTTGGCTTTTCACGTTTCTTGACACCTTTCAAAATTTATTTTTTTAGTTATTTTTTCTTTGATGAGTGGTCTTTGTTCAGTTTCCTTTCAAAGTAGCGCGCCTTATTTTGCATTTTATTGTCAGTTTTTACTTCCTTTACCATGTTTTCCAGATTGATTTTACATTTTTTATTTCGTGCTAGCCCCTCTTGCACTTTTCATTTTTTAATTGCTCTTACCTAACGTCTTTTGTGTATGCTTGGGCTTTTTAATTCCCCCTTTTTAGAAATGTGATGGTAGCGCAGTTTTTCGGTTTCATTCGTCCTTGGAGTGGGCAGTATTTTCGGTTTGGATTGCTTCCGTTCTCTTTTTTTTTTTTTTTCATTAGTTGCAGATTCTGTTCTTGCAGGCGGGTATGTTTT